AGTAAAAGGGATAGCTATATAAGTATAACTAATAGCTTAATAGTAAAGACCTTATAAATACGCTTAATATTATACGTAATTATATCGCGTTACTTTTAGTTATAAAAAGAAATAAAATCACGTAAGAACCCTAAAAGAGAGGTTAGTGTAACGGTGGCTTAGGTTCTAAGGCATAGTAGGTCTGTTTCTTAGGAAGTAAGTCAGGTTAAATACTACAGAGTAGCTTTTAAGCAGTATTACAATAAGGCTATTAAGAGTATAACTCTTAATAGTAAAACTATTGCTTAGATTGATTAATAGAGATCTAGACTATCTGACTATAGGAATACCTTCTCCTTAAGTACCCGTTTATCTCTCTATTATAGACCCGGATCATTTAAATCGCCTAATAATCCTAATGATCCCGTCTCGTTGGATCATTTATATGATCCAATGAGCTATCACGTGACTTAATGTCCTTGTTAGTTAGCAGCTGTGCCTATCCTTGCTAGTGCGGCCTAGCTTCCCGCGTCTCATGTAGTGACGTTCGTAATATAATACCCCTTCTTTATTGGTCTTGTCCTTAAGGCCATTAAAATAGGCCGGCTAGGGGCTTAGGTAATTTTCCCTTCTTTATTCTCCTCGTGTATTATTATGTTAGCTAATCGTGTCTTAAGACCTTTCGTCTGATCCCGTAAACCTTCTCGTAAGATAAACGAGCGAAACGCTCTTCTTAAGTTAATGATCGGGAATCTAATTGATATGCCCGCTTATTCCTTTTACCGAGATTAAGGCCTCTAGAATTACAAGGCATCCGACGTGGACTCGTCCCGTTGTTATAAGTGCATTCATCTAAACAGGTCTTACTACGATATAAATCCTCTTACCCCGCAATAGTTACGTCGTATTAATACCTAACACTAAAAAGCTAAGTTTAAGTTAAAAGCTACTAAGAAAGAACTTAGAAAGGCGAGCGTTAAGGTGCGTTACTTACGAAAATAAAAGAAATTATAGTTTAAGAAAATAATGCATAATAAATACTAATATTACTCTTATAAACACCTAATTATTTATAAGGCTTAAGCTAAAGCTTTTAAGCTAATAGTATAATTAATATAAAGTATTAAAGGGTTAAGCTTAAGCTAATAAGCTTTAAAATATTATAGACCTTAATTAATTAAATTACCCGGTTAATACGTTACTTACTCCCCTTTAGCCTACTCTAGTAAAGGCTTACGTAAGCCTACTATTAGATTAATAACCCTTACTTAAGGTAAAGAATAACTTTATTATATTATATACCCTTTAAGTTATATAACTATAGTATAATAGTAAGCTTAAAGCTTACGTAAGTAAAGAGATTAAAGTACATAATATTTATAAGTGGATCGTATATATTATTAAACTAAGTATTTATGAATTTATTACACTTTATCTTATTAATTAATATTTAAAAGGTTATACTTTAAGGTAATTAATTAAAGAGGTTAAGGGTTAACTTACCTTACGTAACTTTAATATATAAGAGGAAACTTATAAGCTATATTCTATAAATTTAATAAGAAAGGTTACTTTATTAAATGTAAGGCCTATATAATTATATAAGGAGATATGTAAGAGCGCATTACTATTAAATAAACCTACGTAGTAATACTTATAACGTATACCTTTTACATTATAATTACGCTAATAGCTAGGTTTAACTTAAAGTTAAAACTTAAAGTTAAGGTAATTTAATGTAAAGAACGCTTTTCTTTACGTAAAACGCGGTAAGTACGCGATACTAGTAACTTATAAGCTTCCCTTAGAATTTAAAAAAGAGGGATTTTACGTAAAACTATTATAAGCTTTATATAAATTACGTCCTATAAAAGGTAATTCTAAAGACTTTTACTAGAACATTATTCGAATAAGACAAATATAAATAACAGCTAAAGCAATCTTAAATCTCTTATAAGATATCTGCTATTAGGTGAGAAGGCTACTAATATAACCGAGCGGGTGTGTTTCTTAAGCGTCTATTAATAGCTACCTATCGCTATATTCTAGAGCTAAATAGCCTTCTCGCCTAACGCTAAGGCTAGCGTCTTACTATTATGCGAGAACGCTACTAGTATAATAATATCTCTAGGTCTTTGTAGCGTTTACTAGTAGCTACTTATTATTATATCTTAGAGCTAAATAGTCTTATTATTTAACGTTAAGACTAGCTATAAGGCGTTATATTTATAAGAAATCTAAGAAAATTGTATATGAATCGCTTTAATAATATATCTCGCGTAATTTAACCGCAATTTTAAGTTAAATAACATATAATAATTACTTTTACTTTAATTACTTTTACTAAGAAAAGAACTTTTACTTAATATAAAGCTTTATAAGAAATAATAATAAAGTTATATAAATAAAAGGGGAAGTAAAATTCTTAAGAGAATTAAATTTTACGTAATACATTAATTACTATAATATACACGTATTAATTACTATACTCACTATAATTATTCTAGCAAAATAACCTCAACCGTACGCCCTACTCAACAAGTCGCGCCTGTTTAACGCGTTTGCCATCCATCCGGCTGTTCTGGCGCTTAATAACTACTTCCTGGAGCCCAGGTACCTGCTACATGCGTTTCATAGTATTAAGATTCGGCCGGGGGAGGAGGCGCAGAAGTTACACCATAACAATAATTTTATTAGTGTGCTGAGGCCGCATAATCCGTTTAGTACTGTGAGTTGACATTCATCGGCATCACAGAAGCACAGACAGACACAGACATTACCACCATAATTATCAGCAGCAGCACTAATACCACTAACACCCAACACAGTTCAATACAATCACATCCCAGCACCCCCATCACATCATCAGTTCCGCTAACAACAAAGTCCATCATGGTCGCCCTAGACGACTACACGCCCACCAACGGCGCCACCGTCATCATCCCCTCCTCGCACACGCTGGGCCCCTCCGCGCCAAGCCCCTCCGAGGCGGTGCCCGTGGTGATGCCCGCCGGCAGCGTCGTCTACTTCCTCGGCACGGCGTGGCACGGCGGCGGCAAGAACACCTCTGACGGGGATAGGCTCGCGCTGACGGTGCAGTACTGCTAGCCGTGGATAAGGCCGTTTGAGAACCAGCTGTTGGCGGTGGAGCAATTGCAGGCCCTGAAAAGGGCCTTGCGTATTGCGATGGAACATGAACCTCTTCGGAGGTTTGCGTTTGACACTTTGTTCGGCAATGCCAGAAGGACCCCGGTAAGCCTTTCCAGTTGGGATGACGGACGGTTCCACAACAACCCCGGTACCCTCGCCTTAGTCCAGCTTGCAATTGTCAGAATGGGTCACTTGTTACGGGTACAAATTACGTACGCACAATCAAATAAGGGCAAACCCTTAACTACGAGTGGATAACCCTAATAATAAGCGCACTTATAAAAAGGGCGTATACGATTCTAGGCTAAAGTCTAATCTCGTAGTCCTAGCGTAAATACTCCGGTAATCCTATTTCTAGCTCTCCGCTAAACAGCTTACTATACTATAAGTATTCCTTGGGAATCTCCGTTATCTTAGCTTTTAGCTCTCTAGCAATCACATATATTTCTAGAGGCTTATCGTAGTCCAAGTAAGGTGCCCTTTATAGGCCGCTCTTAGCTTCGTAACTGTATCCTAGTAAATCCTATTAAAGTTAGCTGATTCTCCAATTAACTCGTGGATTGCTCGCTCGTAACCAGGGTATCCCTAATATAATATCGTGTTTTAAGCTCACTGTAATATTTAGTGTAACTTAGTGTTTCGTGCCTTGTATATTAACGAGAAGTTGCGCTACTTCCATATTGACTACTCCTTAGCTATACTTCACCGCAGTTCCTTCCATAATCGTGAGTTAGTAGAGCTCGTCTTTAGGTGTCTAAGGCAATTATAATCTATTAACGAGATTCAGCGAGATAAAATTTCCTTGTGCTCCACTATCAATTATTACCTAGATCTTTCGTCCCATTATGGTTATGTCGATTATAAGGTGTGCTATATTGCTAATATTTGCAGTATATAGAGACCTATTAGATCTCTGTTAAGGAATCGGTCTTAATTGCGATAATAGCTATCGTTTCCCGATTTATTAATCCTATCCTTATATCGTTCTCTAGCGCGTTATTCTAGGCGCTATTATTGGCGGTTGTCTTCCAACGTATTATTAGAGCTTCCTTAGTGATCGCTTAATCTACCATTTATGTTAATTGAACTTAGGCTAAGCGAGTTGCTTGTAGTTACACAGTTCCCTTTCTCCTTACATTATAGGGTTATAGCTTAGGTAGTGTATACGTTATTCTTAGTATAATATAACTTTTCGTTTAATATCTTTAAATTGTAAAGGGCTTTATTATAGTATTTATAGTAATTAACGCGAATTATAATAAGAGAAATAGAGCTTAAATTAATAAACAACTTAGAATAAAGGAAATTCATATATTAGACCTATTAAAGGCACTAATCACGTGGAAGGAAATGCTAAATTACCCTTTAAGAGAATAATAGTTTAAAGCTATAAGAGCAGAGATTAAAGCACTGCGAAAAAGAGGCACTTGGAGGGAAATTAAGCGTTTAAAAGCAAGATCCAAGCCGCTACCTCTAAATTGTACGAGGAGATATATAGGAGCGCACCATTATCGAACGAACCTACGTAATAACGCTCGTAGCGTATACCTTTCGTATTATAATTGCGTTAGCAGCTAGGTTTAACTTAAAGTTAAGGTAATTTAATGTAAAGAACGCCTTTCTTTACGTAAAACGCGGTGAGCACGCGATACTAGTAACCTATAAGCTTCTCTTAGAATTTAAAAAAGAGGGATTTTACGTAAAACTACTATAAGCTTTATATAAATTATATGATTTATTAAGCCTTTAATTTAAAGAACTAAGTATAATATTAAAGAAGTGTAAGCTTACTTTTAATATAAAAGAGCCTTATATCTTTTACTTAAAAGCTTAAAACGTGTTTTTAATTTTCTTTATAAACGATATTATTCTTACTTATTATAAGAATAATAAGAAAGTAATAAACCACGTAATTAATAGCTTAAAAAAAGTATATAATTTAAAGAATAAAGGTAAAATACGCTTCTTTCTTAAAATATAAATTATTAGAGACTATAAGAACAAGAAAATCTACTTAAGTTATAAGGCTTATATTAATAAAATTAACGAAAAATTCAGCTAAGTATTAAAAGGTATATTTTTAATTATACTAATTTTAGCTATAAAGCTTATTACGCGCGTTAAAGAGGTAATTAAGTAAAAGATTAAAAGGTATTAAAAAAAGGTTAAATTAATATTATATATAATAATTATAATAAGGTTAAATATAATATTTATTATATTAAAGCTCTTTTAATTTCTTATAATATTATAAGTATAAGTAAGTACCTGCTCTCTTTGTGTATACTTCTTAATAACTATAGCGTTATATATCTTATTAATAATATTAACCTTTTTAAGCTTAGCTTATATAAGAAAAATAAGAAAACAAAAAGCGAATTTATAAAGGTAAGCGTAAGTACCTTTTTAATCTAAGAAAAAGGGACTTATATACTTAAGAAGCTTTTAAACGGTGTAAATAAACCTTAAATTAAGGATTTAATACTTAAAGATATTAGCGTAATTAAAAACTTTCACGTTAATATTATCTTAGTTAATTACTTATAAGAAAAGAGCACTTAAATTTATAGTTTTAATAATATATTACGCTTTAAACCTATAAAATAAAGCGTAATTTTAGTACTATTAATTTAAAAGTATAACTTAATATTTCTTAAATATAAGCTACTTTTTAATTAC